TAGCAGAGGGGTCGTCTGTCTGGCGTACGCCAGAGATCAGACTTGCGCGTCGGTGCACGGCGACTATCGATGTCCAAATCAGCGTGCGCTGACTGAATCGCGACTGACGGCATCATTGTCTGGATCGGGACGTGCGGCACTGTCTGGATCGGGACGTGCGACACTGGCTGGGTCGGGACTCCTTGACCAGAAAGAGGAGTGGCAGATCGCAAGGCTTCCGCGTACGTACGACGGCGACTGTCAGTAGACACAGGAGCCGTTCCCCGATCAACTGACGTGGGCGGAAAACAATAGGTGTGCAGCGCCTGCTGGACCTCGTCACGGATGACACTGGTGATAGAACCAACATCGATTTGCCTTGTCCCGTACACCTTTTCCATTTCTTCCCGGACGATAGATCGGATGATCTCTTGAATCTATTCGGGGCTCTGGCTCCCAGGGGTGGCGAAAATTTCGGGAGTTGAGGCAGCATTCACTTAACGGTCAAACAAAGCAGACCATTGATGCAGTGCTCGCTCCATTGTTGCCACTTCAGTAAGGAACTCAGCAACACTTTTGGGGAGACTACGCACCAAACCAGCAAAAAGTTGTTCCTTCACACCACGCATGAGGTGGCGCAACTTTTTTTCTTCTGCCATAGCAGGATCCGCTCGCTTGAAAAGCCGTGTCATGTCCTCGACATACATCGAGACGGTCTTGTTGGGCATCTGGATGCGTGATTGTAGTGCACGCTCCGCCCGTTCGCGGCGGTCGGGACGCCTGTAGGTCTCCAGGAGGTGACGCTGAAACTCGCGCCAAGATGTCAGAACATCATCCCTGTTCAAAAACCTTGTCTTGGCACCGTCTTTTAGGCAAGTGTACACGTTCCGGAGCTTCGCGGCATCATCCCAGTAATTGATCGCTGCGACACGTTCGAACTCACTCAGCCAGTCGTCAACATCTTCATGCTGCTCTCCGTGAAAGGGGCTAGGCATGAGCGGGTTCTGGACGGTGCAGTAGATCGGCGTGGAAGGTGTCAGAGCTTGCACGGGATCTTGTGTCGAAGTCACTGTCGCTGCGTCAGTGGTTGGCTCTCAGGCGGTAGGCCTCGTTGGCGGCGGCTTAGTCTATGAACAGGAGTGTCCACGGGTGCAGGGCTTATGTTCCGGCTGCTGGACGGGGTCTTGGGCATCAGGTGGATCGTGAGTCGTTGTACCCAGCAACTCCACCAGTCTTCTTTTTTTAATAATAATAATAATACTTTATTCATCAAGTGTGAACATGGAAAAGTGCATGGGTACAGATTCAATGGGAGGTCCCAAGGTAAGAACCGCAGGCGGGACCTCCAACTTGGGACCTCCCACGAAAAAAAAAGGTAATCATCAAGCAACATTGAAATACATTGTCAGCAAAAAAACACAGCATAAACACAGCATAAAAAAGAGAAAGATGAAAAAACAAAAGAAAACAAAAAACCATTAGAATATTAAGGAGGAACACTAAAAAAAAAAAGGAATACATCGTCAATCTAAAAAAATGTGGATATGAATACCACAAAAGAAAGACATGATAATACAGTTACAATTCGATCAAACAGAAGGGCCTAACAAGAAAGTTTTTAGTTTGGATTTAAAAACGCAAAGTGATTTAGAAGATTTAATATCAGAGGTAAGTGAATTCCAGAGCGAAATGGCCGAGAATGGAATCATTTGTTTGCCGTAGTTAGTGTGTATACACGGAAGTAAGAGATTCTGGCGAGAGGCAAAGCGCGTTGAATTGAGATTATTAGTGATGCAATGAGGGAGAATATCTAAGACAAGGTGATCGTGCAAGACGTTAAAAAATAAAATACCAATGCTGTACCTAAACAGATGATGAAGGGGCAAAACACGGAGCTGATAGAACAGCGGGGAAGATTCTGCTTGTCGATGGGAAAATGTAATGATGCGTAACGCTTGTTTCTGCAGTGTTATTAATGGGGCGATGTGGGTATGATACGTACCACCCCAGGAAGAAATGCTTGTCACATTACTCACAACAAAACTTGATACAATGGGCTCGTTTAGTCGACTAGCCAAGCAGCGGCTCAGAGAGATCGTCTTTGTCCTCTTTCACTCTTCGATCTCACCCAAGCAAACCATGTGGCAATATATATGTGGTGCATGATGACGGGTCAGAAAACTAGCGTGCGGACGGCCACACGTGCTCTCTGACACCGGCCAAAGGAAAGAGGAGGTCGAACCCGCAACCCCCTGCGAGAAGAGGACGTGAACGTACAAGGAGTAAGCGTCTACATTTGTTTTACGTATTATCTTCTTTGCGACATTTGCACGCCATTGCTAATGCCTAGCAATGAAGTGTCGTTTTGTTGAACTAGCATGTTGCCTTGTTCGCTCGAACCCGTGTAGTTGCAATGAGACTAGCTACAGATAGGCGACGTTAATCATGCACGGTACGACTGTGTGCGGCTGAAACATTAGTTAGGTTTCTGCGTCAGCCGTACATAGGACAGGCCCCCTACACCACACACTATGCGATGCTTCAACTTAGGCATGTTATAGTCGACTATAAAACGCGCTCTACAAGGTATATTTTGGGTCTTTACCTGAAAAATAATTTCGATAATACTAACCATAAAGCAATATATGAGAACGTCGAACGAATAGGACTAGGGCAGTGGATGTATATCTACGTCACGAGCTTCCAATCTGACTGCACGACAGTCATCTCAGTTGGAGGACTCAAATGGTGAGAGATCGACATCGGCTGTGCGGCATGCCGCAAGGCTCTGTCCCCGATGCTGTTCAATCAATCATAAGACTGACTGAGAAACTGAACCAAATTTAATCCCTACACCATTTCATCTATGCGGAATATATCACTATCTGGGTCTGTGATGGTATACCGATTGCTCAATAGAAGACTACAGACTGGAATAGGCACAGCAGAGGAACACCTGATAAGAAGTCTCACATGCTCTGCACATACATTTGAGCTTTTCTTGTACTGGCCCATGGTTAGCAGTACGCCTCCCACCGAATATGATAAAAACGAGGCCTATGATCCAATTCAGGTAGGCACAAGGAATGGCCGAAATATCCCTATTGTCAACCAGTTCAAGATATTAACCCTTGCAATCGAGGACAACCGTAAAAACTGGAAAACCTTTTTAAAAAATTAGACACGAAAAAAGGACACACCATGACATCATTCAAAAGAATCACCAACAAGCACCAGAGTAAGAGGGGAGAAAGTATCATACGGATGATACAATCCTTCAAAATCAGTCCGATCACATACATTGCAGCATTTTATAATTAATTTGCAGCCTAAAATACAAAAGTAAGCAGCCTGGTTAAAAAGGTGTACAAACCAGCACAAGTGATTCTCATCAGTACGAGCACGGACCTTTTTTCTGGAGTTAGGACTCCACAACACACTGGAGGAACTCTTAGAAGCCCAACAAATATCTCAGGGAGACGGCACATCTCGAGCTGGAAGGAATATCTCAGGCTGGATAGAATATACTATGCAAGCAAGGAATATATTACCACAATCAGTATATATAAAAGAGGACGACCACGTGATAAATTCCAGAAAAGCTTCTAGTACTTAATATACCCAAGAACATACTATGAGGTTACAACAAGGGTAGATGCACGAGCAGAGCAGAGAAAATTATTCAAAGCTATGGGTCAAACGACACAGACGCCTTCGTTGACACGGCTGAATACAAGCATAAATAGCTACGCAGTGGTAGGTGCAGATCATACACTGAAGCTCCTTAACAGCTTGTTAGTTCTCTTCTTCTGCATTTCGGTAATGTGGGTGCACTTTGAAGACATGGACAGGGGAAAAGGCAGATGTGCTCTGTCGATTACGGGTCCGTGTCTTCAAAGCGCATCTACATCGTCGACATGCAGAACCAACTTGCCCAATCAAGTTTGCTGAGAAACTCCTTCAGCAACTTATGCACTTTCTGTTTGTATAGGCACGACCACCATCAAAGGTAACACGGAGCAGGGGTCCGCGCTCATCGGAACGTGACGACGGGTATATTGTGCGGCGCCCGTCGGTCACGTGAGCCGTGTTACCTGCAGCAGTGGCCGCGCCTGTGCTTGCCGTGTGCTACGTCGAGCCCCTTCATGTAACCACTGTACGTTGCTTCAAACACATCCTCAGGTATGCGCCAGAAAGAATAGAGCAGCAAACTCAAACACATCACGAAAACACCACCGGAACCATTGAAACAACATTTCCAGAAGTGCCACACTGCAAGTCTGCTGGGGTAGGCTGTTCGGCGCGAGCCAGTTTGTTTACAAACACCAAAACCGTCTATATTTTCATCATCCATTCACGTCATGTAATACCGAATTTAGTGTATATGAAGCCAGCGGAACGACCAAAAGGGCACTATGAGCGTGCATGTGGTCATTTTCTTACGTGACAGGCATGTCCTGATTTCCACGGGAGGGTGTGTTCGCCATGCAGTCATGTCATACGATACCAGCTTTTGTGATGTCATGTGAACGAAACCGCCACAGGAGCAGCAGGACCACGACATGTAATTCATGACATACATGTCCCGATTTTCAAGTTATGAATAGTCACTTATACTCGTCATACAGTTGCGTGATGCCATACCAATTTTGGTATAGATCCCCTTATCCAAACGGCCAGGAGAGCTAAAAGTCGCAGGCAGGCAGGCAGGGCAGGGCAGGCAGGCAGATACGGTCAAACTCGCTGAAGTTTGCTAAAAAACGCTTTGCATTTAAAAGATTAGTATAGATACTGTTACAGTTAAACACGGGGTTAAACAGACATTCCATGGCTAAACCCACATTTTGCAGCACTGCTTTGTGTCGTGCAAGGATTTATCGGCTCTCATTCTTTGAAATGACTTGGTGAATTAGGCACAAAGCGCATGTGTTGTAGCGCAAAAGGTATCATACGTATGGGTGCGTCAGGAAATTTGACAAAAACACAGACTAAATAACGTATGCACTGTCATGAATGCTCACTCTGGTTGCAGAAAGGACCGTAGTAGCCTGTTCCACAGGAACAGCCGTATGGGTCTGGTAGGCACATGAGTATTCCTTTGCATGTCTTCTCGTTCCTGTCCCTATTGGTGTCTGAACAGTGGCGTTGACAGTAGCGTCCGAAAAAGTCATCTCCACAGGCTGACAACGTTTACACAGGAAAAGAGTCACATTTGTGTTGCAAGGATACAGTAAACGAAACGCATATACATACACTAAACAAAACGACGACAGCCAGCAAACATACAGTAAACGAAACGACGACAGCGAACTTGTAGTTTATACAAAGTAAGGCTATCTGCTAAATTTTTAGCTGAGGACCAGGCTTCGTTAAAATAAAAAGAAGCATGGAAACCACTGGCGTAAAGAAACGCGGTCTCGGCTGCGATCGAAACGACCAATAGGCTGGCTATCACTTGAACGCAACTGCGCCGTGAGAACACATTACTTAGGACTGTGTGAGCCATTTGGTGATCTTCGTACCGAGGACATATAAGACACGCGCTACCGTGGCAAACCATCAAGTGCCCAGTTTATCGGAGAACCACGCAGCACCCTCCCTCTCCCCCTTTAATGTGGGACTCCCCCACCCCCGTATGTGCCAGTGAGAATTTAGCACAGACGAAGATGAGCAGAGACCCTCGTTAATGAATAAGAGAAAGAAGTGTATACCTAAGGGCTTGTTTTTATCATAAAAAGAGTGTACCACACTCGCTGCCATGGCTACAAGTGGTGCTGACTGACACTCCCATGTTTAAATTCACATATAAACCCAATAAAGCGGCTAGGAGAATAGCCGCCATGATAGCTCAGTGGTAGAGCATTGAACGCGTTATTCGGAGGTCGTAAGTTCGATTCCTGCTCACGGCAAGTTATTTTTCACCCACTTTTCTTTCCTCTTATTTACTTTACATTGGTTCTAATAGCTTCCCCTATACACTCCTTGGCATTATTGTGTGTTAGATATTATTATTATTGTGTCAAAACACGGAAAAACGAGCCCTTAGGTATACACTTCTTTCCCTTATTTATTAACGAGGGTCTCATACTGGCAGACTTGATGCCGTTAGGTTGTATACGAGGTACTATTGGTCAGCTGCCCACTCGTAGTATGTTCATGTGCTACGTGACGCCAAACAGGCTCAAAAGAGTGTGCCACACTCGCCGCCATGGCTACTGGTGGCGCTGACTGACACTCCTACGTTTAATTCACATATAAACTCAATAAACTGGCTGGGGGGATACCTGTCGTGGTAGCTCAGTGGTAGAGCATCGAACGTGTCATTCGAAGGTCGCAGGTTCGGATCCTGCCCACGGCAAGTTATCTTTTCACCCAATTTTCTTCATATTTACATTACAATTTGGTCTAATATTTTCCCCTATATATACTTTCCTTGGCATTATTGTCCGTTAGATCTCGTTATTACCGTGTAAAAACACAGAAAAACGAGCCCTTAGGTATTCACTTCTTTCCTCAATTCATTAACGAGGGTCTCGTACTGGCAGACTTAGTGCCTTTAGGTTGTATACGTGGGACTATTGGACAGCTGCCGAATCGTAACAAGTTCACGTGCTACGTGACGCCAAAGAGGCTCAAACGAGTGTGCTACACTCGCCACCATGGCACTGGTGGCGCTCACTGACACTCCCACGTTTAATTCACATATAAACCCTATAATGTGGCTGGGGGGATACCTGTCGTGGTAGCTCAGTGGTAGAGCATCGAACGTGTCATTCGAAGGTCGCAGGTTCGGATCCTGCCCACGGCAAGTTATCTTTTCACCCACTTTTCTACTTTTCTTCATATTTACATTATGATTCGGTGTAATACCTTCCTCTATACTCTCCTTGACATTATTGTCTCTTAGATCTTATTATTAATGTGTAATATATATATATATATATATATATATATATATATATATATATAATACGCCATACCCACGAAGTAATGATGATGAAGGAGCTTTCTCCGTCTGTCTGTCATGTTATGAGCAATTAGCAGAGTTATCTATAGTGAGCACTCCGAAAACTAAAGTAGGTGGCTACAAGGATGCGGGACTAGTCTTTGCTGCAATGTTGAATTCCAATGGCAGATCCATATCAAGTTTTCTGCTCTAAGTGGAGCAATCACATTCCAATGGCGGAATGAGAGCGTGATTTGGGTGTTCTAATGGCAGATTAAGAGCAATCGCAGATCAGGGATTGCTCCGTGGAGCAAGAATTCTTGTTCTGAAATCGGCGGATTTGACCGGAAGTTCACCTGACGTATTCTGTGTGCCCGCCTTTTATCAAATCACTGATAGACATCCGTGGACGATTAAGAAAACGCTACATGCTCCCTGGCACCCTCTCGTGCTCCCTCGATAGATTTCCGCTCACCAACTGCTCCCGTCGAGAAAAGCGCGTTCCAATCGCAGATTTGGCAAGAGCAATTCCGCTCGAATCTGCGCGCTTCGTTCTCATTTCGGCCCAGTGCTCTTGATCTTCCATTGGAATTCAACATAAGAAGCATCGCCCCTAAAAATATGGAGGCAAATAGGGCTAAGTAAAAAAGAGAACTTCATCCCCACTAGCTATAGGTCTGTACACCCCGATTCAATTGTTTTGAAAGTCTTTCTCAAACACATTGACAGGAGCAAGTTGGGGTTGAGAAAATACAGCTGAAATACTGATAAGCCTGCATGTAGTCTAATATATGTAGTGTAACGCGGAGAAATAAGACAAAGAGACAACGCCTTTGCTGCAGGCCGGCTGTTCTTTATCTGCTTCCTCTTCGTCGTCTTCCGTCCCTCCCAGGTATGCGCCGAGCACGATCGCCGCTTTGTCATCATTACACTCGGCCACGCTGCAGCTGGTCTACTCCTGTAAGAAAAACACAAACCAATGTCACGTTTGCCGCCGTATGCAGTTCTTCATCCGCGACACATGCACCGCAAAGTTATTCCGTTTTCTCTTGTCTCTGCGCGTAGCAGAAGCTGTGGATCGTACTCGCCAAGTGTTATCTCCCAAGCGCTCAGAAATAATGTAAGGGCCGTCGTACTTTGGGTGCAGTTTGTTTGAAGACGATGGCGCACCTCGCTGTAGCCACACCTCATCACCTACACTGTATTTCGGCGCGGGACGGTGGCGTCGGTCGTAGTATCGCTTTTGTGCCTGTTGAGCATGCACAATCCTCCTACGCGCCTCCACACGGATATCGCGACAAAGTCTCTGGCGTGCAGCGGAACGCCCTACTTTAACGGGAGTGTCCAAACCGAACGTAGCATTCAGTTGCGGGAGCTGACCATAGACAATCTCGTAGGGGCAAATTCCTGTGGAGCTGTGTGCCGCCGTGTTCACTGCGTACGCAGCTGCTTGGAGATGATCATCCCAGTCGGCCTCACCTCGTTTGTGATTCTTACAGTACGGTGCGAGTCTAGCCTGGATAGTCTGGTTCGACCTTTCGGTCAGTCCGTTCGCCTGCGGATGGTATGCCGACGCGAAGTGATGGTCCACTCCAGCTTGTTGTAGGTAAGTGCGGAGCTCGCGACTGCGAAAGGTGGTCGACCGGTCGGAGATCAACTTGTTAGGAAGACCGTGTCGCCATTCGAAGCGATCTTTCAGGAATCGGATGACATGGCTAGCAGCAAGCGAAGGCACGGCCGCGACCTCTACGAACTTGGACAAGTAGTCCACAGCGAGTATAATGTAACGATTGCCCGCTGTCGTCATTGGAAGAGGCCCGATGTGATCTATGCCCAACGTGTGGAAAATTGTCTCTGGAGGCTTGATCGGCGTAAGAAGTCCATGTCGAGCTCCAGGACGTCGTTTGTGTTGCTGACAAATCTCGCAACTGGCAACGTATGAACGCACGCTTTTATCCATTTTCGGCCACCAAAAACGTTCTTGTGCCTTGCGTAAGGTGGCTCTGTAGCCAACATGGCCTCCCTCGGGAGTGTCATGGATGGCGCGTAGTACGCTCGATCTTAAGGTGTCAGGAATGACCAGGAGATGACACTCGGTGCTTTTATCGGCCCAGTGACGCCGATACAGCGTTCCATTACGTAAGACAAACTTGGCATTACGTCCCGCATCGCCAATGGAGTCTATAACGGATGCGAGTCTTCCATCGGCTTGCTGAGCCTTGGTCACGTCCTGTTGAGAAAACAGGATCCAGGTTTCTCGATTTCGTGTGGAGAACTCCTCGATCGGATTTCGCGATAAAGCGTCCGCAAGCTGATTTTGTGCTCCAGCACGGTGACGGATGTCGTACGTATAGTCTTGGAGCCGAACAATCCATCGGGCAAACTTGTGCTTGAGGTGCTGCTTCTGGAACATCCACGCAATCGCGGAGTTGTCTGTTACTACCGTGAAGTGTCGGCCAAACAAGTAGTGGCGGAACTTTTCATCCACACTCCATACTACAGCCAAACACTCCAGTTCATTCGAATGATAATGCCGTTCTGCGTCCGATAGTTTACGACTGGCGTAGCAGATGACGTGCCCACGCCCACTCGAGTCACGTTGAAGTAAAACCGCCCCCAGGCCAATCTGACTCGCATCAGTATGGACTTCTGTCATCCAATCTTCATTAAAGTGGCAGAGCACCGGGCTATGTGTAAGCTGGTGTTTGAGGGTTTGGAAGGCGTTATCCTGCAAAGGACCCCACTGAAATTGGGCGTTTTTCTTCAGTAAGTCCGTGAGTGGAGCAGCAGTTGACGCAAAGCTCGGTACAAACTTGCGCAAGTATGACGCCATTCCTAGGAATACCTGGAGCTGTTTTATAGATGTTGGTGCAGGGTATTTGGCAACGGCGTCTATGCGTTCAGGCAAGGGTCGTACGCCATTATGAGATATCTGATAACCAAGATAAGATATTGTCGTCAACCCAAACTGGCACTTCTCGCGGTTAAGTCGAAAGCCGGTGTTGTATAGCCTCTGCAGAACCGTGTCGAGATTTTGTAGATGTTGTTTTTCTGTTTCCCCGATGACTAGAACGTCATCGAGGTACACGACGCAGGCACGGTCTATCAGTGTGCCTAACACTGTGTTCATGGCACGCTGAAAGGTGCTTGGAGCAGTTCGCAGACCGAACGGCATCCGATTAAACTCGTACAAGCCAGATGGTGTTCGGAAGGCCGTCTTAAACTTATCTTCTTCAGCCACGTTGATCTGCCAATACCCTGCTTTTAAATCTAGCGACGAAAAGAACCTCGCTTTTCGTACGGCGTCAATAGCGTCGTCAATGCGTGGCAGCGGGTACGAGTCTGGTATGGTGTGCTTGTTCAGCTCTCGGTAGTCAACACAGAATCGGAGATTGCCGTCCTTTTTACGGACTAGGACAACAGGTGCTGCCCACGGGCTAGAAGATGGCCTGATTATGCTTGCGGCAAGCATTTCTTGCACCTGCTGGTCAATTAATATCCGCTCTCGTTCGGCATATCTACGTAACGGTATGGACACCGGCGGATGATTGTCGGTAGTAATATGGTGCACTAGCACGCTAGTTCCGGGAAGCTGAGTAGTAGTATCAGCGAAGAGCGATGCGTGCCTCTCGAGTATTGCGGGAAGTGTAAGTGGCGTCGTCAGCTCACCTTGGGATTGCGCCGGAGGCACACTTGGAGCCACAGGATGGAGGTTGACGGTACTTCCTTCCACCGTGAGGCGCACTTCCCCGGAGAGCAGGTAGTCGGCCCCTAAAACCATGTCTGTGGGCAGGTCGTCGAAGACGGGCACCGAGGACAAAAACTTGCTGCCGGCCTCGGTGTTGAGTTGCAGGTTTAGGGCACCGACCGGTAGTACGTCGCCACCGAGACCCCGCAGTGGTGGCTCAGTCCAAGGCTGGAGAGGTTCGGAGGCGTGGCGGCGAAGCAACGCCGTACGTTGAGCTCCGGTATCAACGAGAGCTGTCAGTTCTCCGATGCCGTCGACGCGGACCTTGAGGGTTGGAAGTGGGCGTGATTGATATTGCATCGCTTGAGGTTGGCTTTGTGGGCAGCTTTTATACCCATGCCCGATGCGGCCACACGTATAGCATCCGCGTCTCGGTGAAGCTGGCTCCTTTGGGCCAACTGCAGCCGCCCGGCGATGAGACGTGTCCTGCAACTCCATTGCCTGGCGTACGAAAGTGGAGATGTGGACTGGGTGGTTGTAGGCGGACAAGACGGCTGCGTGCGTCGAGTCATGGATCCCGTCGATGATGTACTGCCTGGCTGCGGAGGAGGTCCACTGTATATCGCAAGCTTGTAAAAGGTCCAGCTTGTCGTAGATGTAAGTCGCGACGTCCTCGGTTGCACCTTGCCGGCGTGACCGCATGGTCATGAAACGGTCGTCGTAAGCGCTCGGAAGCGGCGCAAACGCGGACATCAGGGCCGCGCTCCATGTTTGCCATGTAGCGTATGTACTGCCTTGGAAACGATGCCACGCTTGGGCAGATCCTCGCAAACGTCCTTCAGCGACCGACTTCTTAATCGTGTCGCTCCACGAGTATTTAAGGGCAACCGAGTTTATCACGCTTACCCAGTTGGTAGGGTCATCCTTGAATCCATGAAAATATGGAATTTCGTTCTCGTTGAACGATCCAAAAGAGGCGCAGCCAAACCCGGATGTCTTGAGCTCTTGGGCGAACAGAGAGAAGCCTCGAGAAATGGCCTCGCTGCAGTCATGATGCGGTGCCGCCGTGGAGGCTTGGACGCCGTCCGTGATCGGTGGGGAGTTCGAGAGCACTCGTCCACTTCGAAGTGTAGTGGACGCAGGGATATCGGGGTCAGTAGTTCGCGACTGCGCCATTGTAACGCGGAGAAATAAGACAAAGAGACAACGCCTTTGCTGCAGGCCGGCTGTTCTTTATCTGCTTCCTCTTCGTCGTCTTCCGTCCCTCCCAGGTATGCGCCGAGCACGATCGCCGCTTTGTCATCATTACAGTAGTCAAATATTTGTTATTCCTGATGACATTCTGACATGTAAATAGAAACAACCGTACCGGTTATTGCTTCGCCTTTCGTTATTATCACAGTTGGTTTTGCAGAGCTATCAGCTAGTGGTAACAATTTATTTCACTGCACACGAGAGGCAACTTTGAGGAATGCAGGCGCTTCATGTGATGAGCAGTAGAGAATAAACATTGTCGGGGTAGCCAAGCTTTCACCAAGAAATTCAGTCTCCGTTAGTGCTACAAGTGAATTTGTATCACGAACCAGGTGAAGAGATTTCTTTATCACAACCACGGCTTAGTGATATTTTTTGGTTAACATCAATTATTCAACTGTACAGTAAAGGCGTTTTGTCGTAGAGAAAAAGGTGCATTGTGAGATCTTTGTCTTTCAGCCATCCAGAACAGGCATGGAACTTTGTACTCACTGACACTGCAAGTCTCTCCCATGAAGCCAGGTGGGCAGATGCACTGCCCAGTTATGTCGTGGCAGACTCCACCGTTTTCACATTTCAGGCACACTAAATCGCAATCCTGACCATAGGTGCCTCCAAGGCATCCTGCGAAACAAAGGTTTCTTGTGCGGTTTTGCATCCCTCAAAACGGCGACGCCTTCTCTGTCTCGTCAAGCAAAAAAAAAACAAAAAGGTAGTTACGCAAATCACTTTGGTCTTAACCGACTGCCCACAACAAGAAAAGCATGCCATTCATCTTTCGATGAAGGTTCTTTTTGCCCTTCCTTCTGCCTGCGCCGCTGTATATGAATTCATTGGCGAAATTAAACAAGCTATTTTATTGCGACGCTGCTTATTAGTGAATGCTGGTCACAGACCAAATCTGTTGGATTGGCATTTTGGAACTGCGTACGTTTTCCTTTTTTGTTTCAGTAGCAGTGCTGCTCCTAGACGTTGGAGGTTTTGCAGACTTTGTCACCTGCTACGATTGAGATTTCAATGAATCCTACCCATACAAGCATTTATCAAAGTAGGGCTTTTAAAAAGGTATGGCAGCTCCTGTACTATGTAACTTGAGAAAGTACGTCGCACGGACACCGGGCGGTTGCAGTCCTTGGAGTTTGCAGAGCCCCGTTTGCCAATACCTAATTGATGCAGTGTTTGAGGTAAGCATGTAGGTTTGCCTGGTACGAGTAGAACTTTTTAGAATGATTCACAAACTTGGTGTGCGACATGTGTGCTACTTTTGCTGCATTTTATCCGCTTCTTTTTTGTTAGGGCAAGAGAGATCGGCACCGTCTACAGCAAGTTACGTAAGGTTGTTTCCCCCATTGGATGTAGCCGGCAACTCGGTGAGGCCGTGGCACCTTCTCTGACATCCGGCTATTATCAGCCCAAAGTTTCAAGAGGTTTAGGCGAATATAAAGTGATTATTAAGATATATTTTGTATATTCCTGATAACATTATTATTCCAGGCCATGTTCGGCAAATTTCCATCTTGGTGTTAGCATAGCCTGCCTTGTTATGACCTGTAGTGTGTGCTTTGCAGTCAGGGTGATATAGATGGACGATTAGCTGAGCACAGACATCATATCTACATACAAATGTAGACATTGATATGCACGCATTATGAGTTTTACTTTGTCTCAATAACGGGCATTTCGCAAAGGCTAAAACACCTGCGGTAACTTTTCTTCAGGCCTATCAACGACGGAAACCTTGTTCTTGCATGGTGCAGTTGTTAATGACAAGGTGTCTGATTCCATGACGCCACCCTACAAATGGTCATCTGTCCTGCGATGTGTTTTGTTGGCTGATGTGTATTCTTTCAGGAGTACCGCATCCAACAACGTTCAATTGAGACGGTGTCATAGATTACGATTTCACGAAATCACTATCACGAATGTACATAATCTGACAATATCCGCTAACGATACATAAGGTTTCATCTCCTAGTCGTGAAAACAACAATGAGATTAAGAGTTACCTATTTTGAGCAAAAATTACGCTTGATAGGAAACATTTAAATATTCATTGTTTCATATCGAAAACTTCACAGGAGGACAATCTCCTTTGTATAAATATTGTTATTAAGTTCAATTATGAATTCACGAGTTATTTTCTCTTTTTCTTTTCTAAGTTATTTTCACTTTTTACTGAAAATTTGGGATTCTATTCCCGATCCATATACAAAAAATAATAACAAAAGATTGTTTTTGTGTTTTTGCAACAAACAATGTTTATTTCTCTTTCTGAGTCTCATTTCTATTGTCGCTGCTAGCTGAAATCATAGCACCGCGTGCCATCCTAATTATTAGTTAGGTCACAGGTCTCGAAACATTACCACCAGAGGTTCAATGGCCCACATGTGGCACTGTCGAAAAAACATAAAAAAACATCTCTAATAATAATATGATGGTTTCAAGATATTAAACCCTACATATCAATCAAGGACATAAAAAAGAACATAATGACGCCTTCAGATAGTACATGAATAAATGCAGGAAACATCACTGTTTTTCAAATTAAACTTTAAGTTAAGTTAGGTCAATAAAATCTAAAGAAAGGTGTTTTGATAATACCTGAAATAAAAAAACAATGTTTAGATGCCACAATTAGAACACGGCTTTCATTAAACATCCGGCTCGTAATGATGTACTGATTTTAAAGTGACATATCAACATAATTGTCATTCGTGCTTCGCATATTATCGATTCCCATTGTACGTGAAATCTGCCGATTTTTTTCACTGTCGTTATCGTAACTGACCATATATATATTATGTATTTATAGCCGTTTCCGTTCAAGTAAAATTTCGCTGCAGTCGGCCTTTAATTCGCATAGCAATAACCTTATATATTTGAACGATATGTACTGATCTTTTGGCAAAACTTTGAGAAAGTGAGAGAGGTGAAGTTCAGTTTCCGCTGCCAGGACAAGACAAGCATGCATATTTTCAAGTATACTTTCTAAAGGTTTATGCCTACTGATAAGCTTGTAAGCATTCCACCTGTTTGACTGCATTCTATCAGCAATGATGCGCATTCACGGGCAAGTCAGGCTCTTTGAGTGAAGCTGTCATCTGTGGTAAAGTTCTCCTGTTTTTTTCTGGCGTGTTTATAGCCCATGTCTTTGAATATATGTGTGGGAAGCTCTGCGTGTGCACTTTATACTTTTCGGCCTAAAGTTCAAGCCTCAACAAATTAACAAAAAAATGAGTATGAGCAAAATGTAATACACAGAAAGAATGCAGGCAGAGGATTTGCGAAATGATACAGCCTACTGTGGTCCGTTCATCATTGGGCGCACTGCCACCGGTTACTAGCGAATCTTGAAGCAGTTACGAAACGGAATGGGCCTTTTGAATATTTAGCTTGAAGACCGGCGTTTTCTGCTAATATCAAGCTGGATTGTACATGGCACTAAGGGCTCAATTTTTCGCACCAACTGATATGCTTATATAGCATTTCCGATGTCTAGCTTCGACACGAAGCTCATGTGAATGACGCAAGGAGCGTTTCTTAAACAGTTCATGCTTCAAAAAAACTTTGAGGTCCGTAAAGGCTGCAACGTTCTGAATAGTATTTACGCTGAATAGTAACTTAGCACTCACCACTAGAAACCAGGTGGTATTGCAGAAATATGTGTACTTACTGCGCACAATTACCCTGAAGATGGCCCTGTTCTTTCCGGGGGCAACAGTGTTCATGCCATTGGCGACGTACACTCCATTGTGTGACGAGACGGCTTGAAATGCCGTCCAGGTTGTGGAGTTGGAGCTGCTTCTGGTGGTCTTTCCTAATGCACTTCCGGATGCATCAACCCTAGTCCACGAAGACACTTGACTACTTCCGTCGTCTCCAGGTACCTTCCTTATTTGAAGGGTCACCCTTTCGAGTAGGCTGGCCGTCACAGTGTAGTTCAACGGCAGAAAGTGTGGTCCCACTGGGCAACCAAGCAATATGTTATGCAACTGGTGAAGCGAACGTGTTTATTTAACTAAACATAGTGTTATGTTGGGGCGAAAAGTTTTTAGAAAGCTCTGTATGTCACTGAAGCAAGAGGAAGACTTATATATGCTGGAGGGGCTGCCTGGTCAAACTCTAATTAATAAAACTGAATGCGTAGAAGGGCACGCTGCATGTTTCGTAAGTGGAATTTCAGTATTCAATTTCTGCATTACCCGCACTAAGCGTGGCATGTATTGTGAACTTTTTCAACAGCTAAAAATAACATTGCGAATAAAATTGTTGAAATAGAGATTTCGTGGTCAAATGACTATGAACAAAAAGATAATACATGATGAGCCCATTTGGGTTCAATCTTTCGACCAAGAATTTATGACAGATGCCTTGTGCACGGACCTATTGGCCAGAAAGTTTTCTCGCCAACATCACCGATCGAGGCAAGCTTCGAACCCGGAGTTTTTCTGGAAAGAGCTATGCATCTGTAGTCAAACGAGTAACAGGGCTTGTTGTTTGTGCGTAAGCCCGACAGGAGAGTCACAATCACCTTTTCCTGCGTGGTGTTCTCAACCTGGGACAGACCCACTGGAAAGGCGGGCGTCAAGTCGGGGTCTCTATTCACCTTAACACTATCATAAGCGTTTTCAAGCTCATGAGACAGTGGCCGTCATCACCTTCCAAGGCAAAGATTCACCCGGACTCAGCCTCATTGCCAGAAGTTCTCGTTAACATTATGTTCAGGCATGGCACTAGTACGTCGGCACTGTGTGGTGCATGTGCGGTCTTCATTAGACAGCGCTCTCGACCATGTTCCCCATCAAATATTTTGAACGGTTCATTTCTCTCCTTCTGCTGAGATGGGCTCTAAGATGGTCAGAAAACCTATTTGGCGGACGCTGATCTCACTGATTTCCTAGTGTTTCAGTCTAGTGGTCGTGGTCCTATAATAACCAAAGACATTTGCAGAAGATTATGAAATATCAAGTCATATGAACTGAGGGGCACGATTCATTTTGTATACATATATGCAAATACCTACAAAGGGAAGCTCATTCGCGGTTTAGCATGGCTTGTAAGGCTGCCGTGTCATTGGTAAAAAACTCGGCCTCCCAGACCAGTTTTTATGCTCGGGTGGCCGTGTCAGCCCGCCGAATGCGAGCTCTCTCACGTTTCCGCTGTCGGCGCTCTTCAATCAATCAGTCAATCAATGTTTCTTTATTAGCGTCAGAAATGTACATTGTGAGTAAGCATTCTAGAGTAGTCCGTTGTTTACACATATAGGAAGCTAAAGCAACGCATGGTGGCGCTGCGATGGATGAATAGGATAGATTGATATGGCTGTACCTTTTAGATCGGGCGGTGGCTAACGCCATCAAGCCGTAAGACCTAGTGAACGAAAAGCTAGATTTATTTTTTTCCTTTAGTGAGGTGGAGGACTCGTAGTTTGCAGTGAAGGGTTTAATTTTCACTCGTGTCTTGACTTTATCCACCAATCAGACTCTGACAGGCAGCGGGATTTTTGATAGAAAAGTAGGAATCGTGGTTGTATATCGCGCGTTTTCCCTTCCCTCCAATGCGCTGCTGCTCGCTTACGTGCTCGTGCAGAGAGCGTGCACTCCATTTTAGTCACCTCACAATGTACCACCTGCTGTACGGCTTCGTAAAGATTTTCGAGCTGGACAAACACTTTCTAGACGCGAATCTAACAAAATGAGTAAAGCTCGTTAGTCAAGTTTATGATGCGGAGCAGACGACGGAAGATGAGGACGCCCGAGTCACTGCGAAATACACTTCTCAGGTCCATGAAAATACTGTGTACGACATATGCCTCGAGGTAAGTCTCATTCTGCGGACATAAAGCCACGTACTCTATCGCTGTGCTGCGTTCACTTTTATGAAAACCATATATTTGTTGTTTTTATGTGGTACCTAGCAGTAGCAGCCATGTACTGTCTTGTGCAAACGTTTGCGGCATGATAAAAAAATCAAAGAAACTAAAGTTATCTATTTATGGCATTAAAATTTCTGGGAACATTTAGAGTCATGTCTTTCGCGTCACGGGAACATGTCCCACTGACGTCGCCACGAATCCGCAAGCTGAGCTTTACCCAAACGAATCAAATTCAAGTGCTCACTTCGTTTTTGTTTTGTTTTTTTTCGGCTCTCGTGTCATGTTTGCTCCATCTATCGCAAACGTGGCTGTGTTCGACGGCGGTAACTTGGTGGTGGAGGTAGTAGTGATTAGATGAAAAAGAAAAAAGACGCTTATTTTTGCAGCCCTTAAGGGAGCGCGGCACAGCGTCTTGAAGGAGGATGAGTAGGATGAAAGGGAATAAAGAGTAGAAAAGTAGAAGGTAGGAGTGTGAGCAGTCTGAAGGTCACAAGTCACAACACAGGGACGAAGGGGCAACTGGCGCAGCAAAAACAGCAGCCAGTAGTGGGCGAGAGTCCTATGGAGCATCTCGATGGTAGGAGGGCACATTTGCCCCCGCAGCAGGGCTCTTACTTGAGCTGGGTGGTTCTGGGGCTGTCCTTTGAGCGCTGCGAGACACACAGCGTGTCAAACTGATACAGCTTTACGCGTGGAGAGTGTCTCTTGGTGATGTCTGCATTGTCGTGGCAGCCCACAACACAACAGTACTTCGTACCTTGCCGACTCCTCCGTGGGTCCGCTTCTACCATTGTGGAAAGGCCACTTCGCACAGCGAGCGTATAGTTTAAGCGCGCCAAGCTGACGGCACGGCGCCGAAGTTGCTCACACCGACTGCTCGCACCGTTCCGCACGTGTCGCACGCGCTCCCGTTTCGGCAAAACACATTGACTCGTCTGTGCCCTATCCCGCGCACCCTGTCCCGCGCCTACCCTGAACTTTTCTGGAGCTCACCGCCACAGCCAGGCGTGGCGTTGTCGTTGCTCCACAAACTTGAGCTTCCGTTTCCTATAGAACCTCTCAATAGAAACTGACGCGCATGTGCGCGGCGTCACGGTTGCGACGGGATGAACAACGTCACTCACAACGCCGCCAATGGCATGCGTGCTTGAATGCGATGCTGTGTACAATGTAAGTGGTCGCACAGCCAATGGAAACCCCTCGTGACACCAATGCCAAATGCTTTTTCGTTTTTCCTAGCCATATAGGGCTTTCACTTTAAGAATGCATAGATCCATTAGTGTACCATTTTCTCTTTTATGCTTTTTCAGAAACAACCATTGTTCTCTACTGTGAATAGAGCTGCTTGCTGAACTTCACCATAAGTTAGACAACTGAGAGTGAAAGGAGCCATCTATCGTGCACCTAGTAAAGGTTTACCATTTAAATATACGTATGCGAAAAGTTTGGACGCCACTTTTTTTTCTTATTTGCGTTCAGCGCCAAGAAAGAGATTACGTAAATCCCAGTGCATAACAAGAACTGTAAAAGAAGCAGTTGCGGTAGAGTGCTAGAACGACAACGTTCTGAAGCGAAAATTGTTAAAAGAGCAATCGTTGTTTATGGAGTATAGAGTTATAAGAGAAGTAGTCCACGAAAATGAAGCGCTAAATTATTTTCACACAATGCTTTTCTACATCACTCTCATGTGCCAACTTTCGAAAACAAAGCTCCGCGTGGGGGTACTCGCTATACTAAATGCCGAGACAGCACCAAAAGTTTAGACGTCACGAGTCGCAAAGATAAATATGAAATTTCGTCTGTCTCTGCAGGCAGTTTTAGGGGCGAAGCTCTGCCCTGCCGCGGTGGTCTAGTGGCTAAGGTACTCGGCTGCTGTCCCGCAGGTCGCGGAATCGAATCCCGGCTGCGGCGGCTGCATTTCCGATGGAAGCGGAAATGTTGTAGGCCCGGGGGCTCAGATTTGGGTGCACGTTAAAGAACCCCAGGTGATCGAAATTTCCGGAGCCCTCCACTACGGTGTCTCTCATAATAATATGGTGGTTTTGGGACGTTAAACCCGACATATCAATCAATCAGGGGTGAAGCTCCCTAAAGGGGCACCCATTGGTCCGTCGTCGTTGCACATAACATGTCTTACACTTTGACCTGCAAGGTGGTGCCGGTGGGAGATTTTTCCTGTGTGTTGTTGAACAATAAAAAATTCGCAGCGTGCGTGTTAACTAAAAGCCGAATTCTCCTGTCTCTCATTCCCCGTTAGCAGCCATTGGCATGTTCATTGAGCACTATCTGAGAAGAATGGGTTGCTATACTTTATACTCACTGAACATAACCTCCTTGATTTTATAAAGGTTTAACGAGCATTCGGCCGCAGTGCCATGAATACAGTGAACTAGTATATAATATGAACTCAAGGTGGCAAAAGGTGTGAAGTAGACAACAAGCGCAAGCCGTAAAAGAAAGTGTGTGTGTGCCACCTCTCGTTTAGTCCTTGGAATGTCCGCTGGATGGCGGTGCCTCCATATGAGGGATATATTGTCACGTTACAACGTAACTGTAAGCTGCAGATAATGGCACACAAGGCCGTCAAACTGATTCGAACAACGGCAGTATGACTATTTTTTTTCTCTGCACGCACATCTTTGTCCTCTTCTGAACAGCGGCACATACAAGCATGCTAGCATCTGTGGAAATATTACTTTCAGAACTTGTACTAGTGGCATTACCCCCCTTCCTAAAGGACATCGTCCCGATGTCATAACATAATTGCCAGATGAAAACACGTACGATAAGCAGTACACAAGGGGGTGTTCACAATCACTGTAAGTCTACTCAAGGGAGTGTGACGAATAGTCAGCGTTGGTAAAATGGTTTCATCCTCGAAACATGGACGACGTGACGCTGTTGTGAACGGCGGGATTGAGGAGCCATGTCCTCGTCAAGAACCTCGTAGTTCACTTTGCTGAGACGACTGAGAACGTCTATAGGGACCAAAATAGCGGCGTAACAACTTTTCAGACCGGCCCCGTTGTCGAATAGGAGTCCCCAACCATACTCGTTCTCCGGGTTGGTAAGAGACATCGCGACGACGA